AGATCATGATTGCATTTGGTTGTCGTGTCTCGTCCATCTCCTTTAATCTGGAATAGTTCTTTAGTCTGTCTTTGTTTTTCATAAAGTTACATTTCTTTAAGGAGTACAGACCAGTTGTTTTGCAGAATAGCCCATAATTTGGGTTTGACGGTGCCTCCTGCTTCAATCCAGATTATACTCTTTTGGTAGAAAAACCACAGAAGTGACTCCAAGTTCTCAGTGCACATCCAAGGCTGCCAACTAGTCTCGTTACTCACGATGTTAACCCTTGATTATTTGATTTAGGTGCTGTGAACCAGGTTTCTCCACTGTAAGGATACTGTTTTACCCCTAAGCGTGTGGTGGGGAGCTACTTTGAGACTAAATATCCCATTCTCCTCACGTTTTCACCCGCTGGTCTCAGCATCTGTTGATGATTCTTGCTTACCTCAACTGTTCCTGTGATGGTTGTCAAATGGTGATTTCTCTAGTTCCATTATTCCTTGTATGGTTGTTAGCTGACTGTCTACTTGTAAGTCAGAGCTTTCCCCTTTTTAGATTTATATCCTAAGGATTCATAGACCCTTGTTTTATTCAATGGATTATAATCCTTTATGTTAGTATTTATTCTCATGTTCATGTTGTTCTGTATTTGGCCAGTAGAACCCCTGCCAGCTGGTCCTGTGTCCATTTGACCTGTCCCTGTCATTCTTTAAGATCATCACAATCAGAGGCAGCCCTTTCCGGCTGGGTTGAGCCTTTTTCTATATTCCTTGACTTCCTGATGGATACTCAGTCAATTTCTCTGTCTGGTTGCAAAACTCCTGCCTCCCCCCAGTCTCCCCGTTTCTCCCCACCTTCATCACTAACTCCCTTGTGAAACCAGATTTTCCCGCAAGGGGACTTGACTAGTAACTGATGGGGCTTTAGCGTGCCCGTCTTCAAACACAGGACTGTGTAATTTCGACACGGAACACAGGACAAGAGTCAACGTCCAACACAGGAGTCCAGGAGCAGGCAGGCGCCAGCAGTGGGTGGACACACCATCCTAACGGTGTTTGCTTTTCTCCTGTGCAAACCAGATGACGGTTGCGAAGGCTTTGCCTTTTGCTTCTCTGTTGCTCTTTTCCACTCCAAAGAGAAAGCAAATTCTGATTCTGCTCCATAATAAAGGGCCCCAGACAACTGAGTTCTCACCTTTAAGCCAGATGTTGTCAAAGTGAGGGGGGAGAGAAAGAGACAGACTGCCGGTTTTGAATTCGGTTTTACTTCAGAAGAGCATATATTTTTTCCCCCCATGTCCGTGTGCCACGCTGGACCTGGAGTATTTCCTTTTTGCACCTGGAGATGGGAGACCTCCTCGCTAAAAGCAAGATGTGGTGTGGCAGGGACACATGAAAAGAGAAACAGATCAGGTTTGATGTTAGGAATCATCATAGAAACAAGAATCACTGTAGACACAGGCGGGCAGGGGTTGGGTGTCAATGCATTAGTCCCCACCCTTTTCGTCAGCGGTCGCTCAACCTTGGACGTTGGAGCCTATCTCACTGAGAGAAGGAATGTCACTGGGGAAGGAAAACACAGCGTGGTGAGAGAGGGCAGGACCTCCAACCAGGAAGAGGCTGCCTCCACTGGGCTGGGGAGAGAGAGGCACAGAGCGTGGCCCTGGGTACGGGACCAGGTCTGTAGGAACCCCAGGGGGTGCACCCTAAAGGGAAGCAGCGGGGGGTGGGGGGGACTGTAAACTTGACTTGAAAGGGGAGAGTCATCAAAACACCTTTTATAACTACATGGCTTTGAAGAAAAATACAGATCCTGTGGTTTTCCAGGGAAAGGGGTGGGTGGTGAAAGCCACAGATGACATGTCGGTTCTCCTAGGAACAGGGAAGCAGAGGCTCTGGAGTTGGGCTCTTAAATCTCAGCAGTAATCTCACGTCCGGGCACGTTGCTTGTGTGGTCACAGCGCCAGCAGCAGAGGGTGGGGACAGCCAGCCAGCCTGGCGAGGGTGCCTCAGGGTCAGGATGACCTCGGTCAGCCTCAGAGACGCTGGGAAAGCCAGGTGTCGCTCAAGACAAGCCTCTTTCGTTCTTTCTTCTTTCCAGAAGAAAACCTTCCCTACCTACGACTCTGGAACCCACCTGCCTGACATTTTTCAGTAATTCACATCTCACGATTGCTTCAATTACATCATTAAGACCTGTAGTCTGCTCCTCTCTCAAACACTCCAAAGCCCTTTTTTTCTTTTCTTTGACTTTTTTTCTTGCCTCCTATCCTCCTGACTTTTTAAAAACAGATTCCAAGATAAACAAAGATACTGCAAGCATGGAAACGCCAGATTTTGAGGGCGCAAGTGGGGAGGGGAGGGGCTGATGGTGGGGAGGAAGCACACGGGGGCTCTTGAACCTGTTATCCAGCTGATATATAAATTATTTGCAGCAAATGGACATAAGTGGGGAGCAGAGGCTGGAAACAAAATCCTGGGCTTGGAAAATGGGGTCATTTCATTGAGAGTGCCTTGAAAAAGGAAAAGGTTGTACACATATCGCTGGCTAAGCCACCAGTGATTTCTCTCTCTGTGGAATTCTTGTTGCACTTGGGGTGCACGTCTTTCAGTTGGCGCCACAGTTGATAGAAATATACCATTTGGCCCTTATTCTGGAAACAAGTATTACTTGGTATTGTTAATGCTCTTGTTTGTATGTGTGTGTACGTCATGACACTAGATTCTTTCTTTCTTAGATGCAAAGCTTCCGTCTTTTTTTTTAAGCATGCTGTATCTAGACAAAGCTGAGTAATAAGTATATGCTTATTATGAATATTAACTCATGTAATCTCCAACAATGCTATGTGGTAGATGCGTCATTATCCCCATTTACAGATGAAATAGCTGAGGCCCAAAGTTACACGGCAGAGCTGGGACCTGACCCAAATAATCCAGGCAATCTCCCCATCTCAAATCTGTAATCACATCTGCAAAGACTTTCTTTCTTGATCACACGAGGTAACAGTCACAAGTTCCAGAGATTAGAATGTGGATGTTGGATATCTTTATGTATGTGTGTGTGGCTGGGGGGGTGTAAATCTAGTTTCCTCTAACCAACCAACTAGTCTATACTTCTTAAAAGGCACCAGTAATTTTCTCTGTGGTTAAAGGCTTATGAAGTAGCATCCTGGGAAATTCATGCATGATTGAAAAGAAGCAGAGAGAACAGAGGAAGCAGTGACACAGCTGACGATGAGCGATCCCTCTCTCTCCCTAGTACATGCATCTCATGGAGACAAAGGGACTAGGGCTTTAGATTCTGTCACTGGCTTGTCTTCTTAAAGGTTGTAGCTGTTAGAGATGGAAGATGACTTAAAGTTTCTTCCATACTAATTTTTAGGATTTTCAGAAAAGACCAGAACAGTGTGGTCAGTTTTACATGAAGAGAAGGTTTTATTCAGAGGGCAATCATGAGGGGAAAATGCAACTTGGGAGAGGCCAGGGGACAGAGGGCAGGTGGGAAATGAAAGAAGCAAAGACATGAGTCCATCTGCCACCAGCAAGCCCGAAGGGGCGTGTCCTTGAACTGCCAGAGAGTGGAGTCCATGGATCGTAGCCAGGATGGGACTCGTGGTGGGAAAAGCAAAACAGAAGCAGTTTAGTCCAAGTAAAGCTTGTGATGATCCCTCCAGCTCTAATCTCCTCAGGTCTGTAACATGGAACATAGAGATCAGCTGCCGTACCCTGACATCTTTTAATGCTGAGAAGCTAATCCCCTGCCGCGGAAACCTCTCCACTCTCTTACACCATCTGCTGCTGCACGTGGGCTGCACCCCGGTTAAGCCCACGTCCCCTGTGGAAGGCAATGGAAGAGAAAACGCACAGGTCCTTTTCAGTCCCACCTTTCTCTCCCTAACATTCGTCAACCTGTTTTTTCCTCATTTGCAAAGTGGAGATGGCATAACTCCCAGGGCTGGGGAAAGGTCTGGCACAAGAGACAAGTGTAAATAAATGTTTGAGAACTCTGAATCTGTGATTTTAGATACGTGAAGGTATTCCGGGTAACCAGTGCCCTCCCTGAATCGCGTTATCCTTTTGCCAAAAATTGTAACTCTACTAACTTTGAGTGTATCTAGGAAAGAAAAAGCAAACTTAATTCCTATTAAAATGTCATTCAGCCTCCCCGGCCCAGTCCAGGCCGAGAGCGCCCGCCTGCTGCTTCCGCTCTCCGCGCAAGCGCCCGAAGCTCGGCCGGAGAGCAGCGGAGCCGCCGGCGGGGCCGGGAGAGGAGCGGGCGCCGTTGGCCGGGAAGGTGCTGGAGGCCACGGTCCGCATGTTGAAGGTGCAGCTCCCCGCGTTATCTTAAGCAGCTCCCAGTCCCCGAGAGCATTACCAGGATCGCCCGGCTCACAGTTTCAGAATGGCTTTGATTATTGCCTTTCCTCGGTGTGCTTGCACTACCTTGCGGTTCGTCCATTCCTCCCGAAGAAAAAGCAGCAGAAGGATAACTTGATTAATCTTAAAATACAAAAGGAAGATCCCAAAGTGCTGAATGAAATAACCATTGAAGATTTGTGTCTTACTAAAACAGCTAATTGTAGGTGTTGGCGTTCTAAGACGTTTCCTGCCTGTGATGGTTCACACGATAAACACAACAAATTGACTGGAGATAATGTGGGTCCACTAATACTGAAGAAGTATAATAGTAATGAATTAGGATGGAATTCAATTCTGTGCTGTAAAATCTTATAACAGTATTTTTCCATTCTTTGTTTATAGAAGATCTTTCAAATGGTAGTCTTAAGTATTGCTACTGGTTGAATAATTATTTCTGCCAATTTATTTTACACTACTGTTTATATTTGACACTTTGTATATTCAGTCATTTATATAGAATTAAATCGTGCAACACTTTCACTCTGATTTCAAAGAATGAATGTATCTTCCTACAATAAAACGAACACTTTTTATTTTTAAAATAAAATAAAATAAAATGTCCTTCACTCTGTTCTCTCCTTTTTATGCCTTTTTTTCCAGATGATAACAAAAAGTAATCCAGATGGGGTGCAGGTGCTGTAAAATGCTACAAAGGTAACATTGAACGAAAGGTCCCATCCGAATGGAGGAATTTGTGATTACTATGCAAGCACTTTAAACACCCTGCATGGGTTCAATGCATTCACCCAGCTTGGGGCATGACCACCATTGCCAGGAAATTAAGAATTTGGAACCACTTTAATGTCATTTAAAAGAACATGAGGCCTGGATTTTTAAACATTTTTTGCGCAATGCTCAGAGTGTGTTGGGAACGCTGTCTTTCTCTGAGGCTGAATTTGGTTTGGGTTGAATTTACATTCCTCCAGAGAGCTTCAATGCAAAGAAAAGTTTGAGTTTTTGAAGATGCCTGAAATGGCATCACTGAAAACACCCCAGTCACATATGTGCTTTCAATTTTGTCCAGATTCTATTTCATAAAAATTTGGGCAACATGAATATAATTCTGTATAAAATAAAGGGGAAAAATTAACTGATGATTTTGCTTCCTTGACAAAACTATCTTTATTATGTTAGTTCTGTTCCGTATCTATATCTATCTATATATAGATCTATATATAGATAGATATAGGCATATACACACACACACACGTACCTACATATATAAGTTTTATTCCACTATAATTATAATCTGATGTTAGGCTCTATTCAAAAAAATATTTATTGTAAGTATCTTTCCTGCTAGTCCAGACTTCATATTTTAATTACTACATAATATTCCATTGAGGGGTTGAACCATCAGTTCTTAACCAGTTATTTTCCTGTTGTTGGATATTTGTTTTACTTATTTACATTTTTTGCTTGTTTTTCAATTTCATGACCCACTTTGTTCTGTAACTTCTTCCTGCCCTTTTTTGAATCCCTTCTTAAGATCTATGTCCAGTTGGTAGAACATTTTTATACCAACTATATATATTTAATGAGGCACACATATAGACTTAAAAGAGTAATCATGGAAATTTATAGGAATTGTAGAAAACAGCAGAGCCTGTAGTAGATATATTAATAATGAAAGTTATTAATAAAGTTAATACTTAACCCGACTGGTCTCCCTTCTTCTCACCCCAGCTATCTCTTGGATCCAGTTCAAGTGCCCTCCCCTGGTTATGTCAACGAAGTAAACAGCTGCAAGTTAGATGAAGACGATGCCGTTAAGTTGAAAGGCAAACAGAGCCGCGAAGTGCTGGTACACAAGGATGACCCTCCGAGCGAGAGCTCCAAGAGGACCACGAGCAGGTACCAAACGGCTGCTCTGCAGGAGCCCTGCGGGCCGCCCCAAGGACCGCTTCTCCCAGGGGACACGGCCGGGGGACCCTGCGCTGAGAAGACTGGCGGGGCCGTCAATGGCCTCGGCCCCGCTGCTGCCCTGCAGCTCGCTGGCGATCCCGGGTGCCCCCAGGGGGACAGGGGCTCCTGGGCCAGTGCCACAAACAAGGGTCACACGACTCGGCCCTTCCTTGGAGGAGGAAGTGCCAGGCAACCGGACTGCGTGCTGCTGGCTTCAGGAGAGACCCGTGTCATCGGAAACGGCGACTCCAGCGCGTCTTGCGCGGCAGGGCATCCCGCCTGGGAAATCCCAGACCACGTCCTCCAGATACCCGCCCCCGATTACCCTCCGCTGTGGGGCTCAGCCGACGACGACGCAGATCACGTTGACCGCGAAGAAAAGGACTGCCTTTTCAAGAGCCACACAGAGGAGGAGCCCGGGCAGGGCGCTCCCTCCGGGGCCGGGGAGCGTGGTTTGAATATGCCCTTCTCGGTGAAGAGAAGCTGGGATTCGTTAAACGAGGCCGTGGCAACTGAAGTTCTAAGTGTATACTTTAAAGAAGAGGATCCTGCACAGGACGTACCTGTGGTCGATTCGAGAAACGGGTGGGAGGAGACCCAGGGCTCCCTTGGAGATGCGAGTGGGGAGACGGCAGATGAGGACGCAGAGGTGGCCGAAGCCCTGGCCGCTTTAGAGGCAGCTACTGCGGGAGAAGATGTGGACGAGGCAGAGTAGGGGAGCGGCTTTGCGCCGGCAAGGAAGCCAGCGTTGCGCTGGGCGTATGGGGCTGGGTTTGCTCCTTAGACACAGAGCTGATGACCGCAGCGCAGATGGGTGGCAGCCTTACCGGTGGTTGACACCCAGCAGCTGTTCTGATGGCTGTGAGCGCCTGGGCCACACCGCTTGTTAAACATGGAGAGTACCACCGTCTAGATGGGCTAAAACTCGAGACACGAGAATAAAAGTCAGAGTGGGCCACAGTGCTCGTGTCCACAGCGCATGCAGACATTAAACAGCCTGCTCGGCACCCCGCACGACTCCCCCAGAACATCTGGTGCAGATGTCCCTGAGGATGCGCTGACGTCCCAGCGCTTAATCCCAAGGGCTTAAGGTTCACAGAACATTCTGTTTGACTCTAAATTCTCTATCTTGCTTTTGAGAGCCAAACGTTATACCCAACCCGAGAAAGGTAACTACCCCCACTTAAAGTGCCTAATGTATGGTTTACCTTCAGGGACAATCACCCAGGGAACTAATAACTAACCACTTGTTGGACCGGGGGTGAAGCTCAGCAGCTTCCAGGGTGGAGCACGAGCCGCCCGTAAACACATGGTTAGTCATTAGCTGTGATATCAGGACACCTTGACCTTAATTTTTTTACATTATTACTTTTTAATCTCCTGTGGGATTGGGGAGTCTGGTCCAAATAATTATTTAAACTGCTTGTGTCAAATTCAGGTTTTCATGAGATTTGGAACAGCAAAGAGATAGATGGAGTGTTTTGTGCCATGTTAATGTCTGATTGTGATTAAAATATAGCAACATATGTGTCTGTGTGTCTTAACTCAAAAGTGCTTCTAATTTTCCCAGACTGAGCATTAGTGACCCTTGATGTTTCTTTCAATTTAAACAGCTAGACTATTAAATTACAGATGAAGAGGAGACTAGGTTGGTTTGCCAAGAATGGCTTTGACTCTCTGTCCCTGTAGTTCAAACTCTTGACACCATGATTACCTGTGCAGATCTGACCTTTAGGATGAATAGCCCTCTCTGGGTTTCAGCCTTCTAATTTATAAACAAGGACAGCCATTTAGACATGGCTTGATGGAGAATTTAGAGGATGGTCAAGAGTATTTAGAAAAATACCAACATGGAGGATGATTTATTATGGTGTTTCATAACACAGGCTCTAAAATCTGACCTTGGTTGGATTTCCAGCTTTGCATGTGACCTTGGGCAAGGAATGTATCCCTTCTATTTGCCCATTAATTAAGTGAGAATAATAATATGTTTCTAGAGATTGTCATAATGTCATCGCTCCATTTTGGTAATTATTTAACATAAACATGATTTCTGAGCCTAACAGACTGACATTTCCCTGGGTTTGCTTGATGGCAAGCCACCTCTACATACAAGGTCACTCAGAGCTTTTAAAGGCTAAACTGTTGGCATCGCTAATTGCGTTGTTGGTTTACTGTTCTGTTTAGTACACCAGATGCTTAATATTTCAAAGTGGTTCCTTCAACAATTTCCTAAGTGTACCTGTTGGGATCAGGTCCAGCTGCATGTGATAAATGTCTTATAAAAATAGAGATTTATTTACCTTTTATGTAAAAGAAGTCTGGAGGTAGCAGTCCAGGCTGGTAGAGGATGCCATGGTATCAGCGACTTATGTTCCTTCTATCATTTGGCTTCCGTCTCAAGGTTACTGCGTGGTCCACAACGGCTGCTGGGGTTCCAGTCACTCATTTGCTTTCCATGCAGGAAAAAGAATAACAGGTCAGAAGATCTCACTCCCTCTCTGTTAAGGACCTTCTAGAAGTGTAATTCAACCTTTCCACTTGTTTCTCATTGGTCAACATCTGGTTACTTGGTCACATCCAGCTGCCAGAAAGGCTAGGAAGACTTACCTTTCTAGCTATGAGCATGGCTTTCCCAACTAAATTCAGGATTCAGTTACGGGGAAGGGGGAGAATGGACGCTGAGTTATGAGATGGTCTGCTTACAGTCTGCCACACCAGGTCCTCAAAACACAAAAGCCCGGGATAGAGCTGATTTGAAAGAGATTGAAAGATATTTACAGTTAGTGTGACAAAGGAGGAGTCTGAACCTTTGGTCCAAGGAGGACTGGACAGCTAAAGCCTTCCCAGCTTCCCATGGGTATCTCCAAAACAGAAGGATGAAAGAAGAAAAATCGGACAAGGAAAGGGGAAAGTGAGTTATTCCTGCAGACAAGTCTCTTTCCCTGGCACAGAAACACACTTCTGCATTTACATGTTTACCTAATTTTACATTTTAGGACGGCTACAGAGAGTTCACCATGATTAAAAACTCTCAACTTTTAAAGATTCTTTATATATATTTAGAAAATTCTTTATATAAAGAATATAAAGATTTTTTATATTCTTTATATGTGAATAACTGCTTCAAAAAGGTTAACGGAATTTCATGTGTTTTGTTAAAAGCAGCCCTGGCCCCAATATCCAGGCTCCACTAAAGGACATCAGGGCAAATGTCAGAATCTTTAGGTTGAGAAGAAACTCCAGATTTTAGCTTTTTCCCCGCAGCTTGTCTAGCAGCTGAGAATCCTGCTCTGTGCAATGTCTTCTTTCTGCAACCTGGTCCCACCCCTTATCAAAAGTGGTGCTGTTGATAGTGATGCTTTTCAAACATTCTGGACAGTCTGACAGCATAGATGCACTCTGAATGTAAGGCACTGGCTGTGATTAGAAGTGGACATCACAATCCAGAAAGGAGGAGATATATGTATATGTATAGCTGATTCATTTTGCTGTACCGTATAAACTAACACAATATTGTACACCAACTATACTCCAATTAAATAGATCTATATAGAGAGAGAGAGATAGATAGATATTAAGAAGTGGACATCACAGTCTCCTTGATCTTAGCAAACTGCATTGCATGGCTATTTACCATGTTAAATCTTGATTTTGATATAAGATTATTTCTATATTACATGTAGTTTTCTTGAGCTAGGAAGTTACATTTCACTTTTTACTGATAGTTGAACTATCATATAAATATGACATTAGACGTTTTTCCCTGGTTTCCAAGGCAGATGGTAGCATATTGTTATAACTGTCAAAGCAGATCCGCAAGGGATTGAAGAGGATTTCAGGTTCTTAGCACACACCCATTTGTCCATGTTCAGTAACTTTTAGCCAGTCACCGTTTTCCTCTTTCTGTCTTCCTCTGCCCTGACCCTAAGGGCAAGATTATCTCTTCTCTTCTTTTTTTTTTCTTTACATTGAGGTATAGTTGATGTACAGTATTATATAAGTTTCATTTGTACAGCATAGTGATTTTTAAAGGTTATACTCCATTTATAGTTATTATAAGATATTGGCTGTATTCCCTGTGTTGTGCATTACCTCCTTGTAGCTTATTTATTTCATACATAGTAGTCTGTATCCCTTGATCCCCAAGGCCTACCTTGCCCGCCTGTCCCCCACCCATTCTCATCTTAACTCTTCATCAGTATCTCCCAGCAGGAGGCCTTAGGAAGACGGAAGGAAGCACCAGATGCAAATACATGAGTACAGATCTGACTTCCTTAGTTTTGTCCTCTGTGTGCAGTCACAGGAATGTGGCCTCTGCTCTTGAACTTGGACTTTATTCTTCATCAAGGGGACTCCTATTTGTACAATGAGTCTTTCGATGAAAATGTGGAAATTCTTGCTTTCTGTTTATTTATTTTTTCTTCTAGAGTAAACCTCATTCCTTTTAAAACGTGCTATTTTAGAGCTGGTGATAATTAAACAGAGACAAACTGACATTTATTTTTCACGGTAAATGCTTTCTCTGTTAACTTACAGAAATAAGTTGCTCATTTATTTATGTACTAAATGTATAAGTTCCTCCAATGTATTAGGTTATAGTAGACATATAACAGGCTGACTTTTGAAGCACTCTCAGCCACTCTAAGAAACAACATGCTAGGCACATCTATTAAATATGCTTGGAGTTGACCATTAGCAATTTTTTTTTCAACTAAAGTGACTGTGATAAACAAGCACCTTTTGCCTAGATCCAGGATGGTGTGCAGCACAGGTGAGACATTATTTGTTGAATGAAAGACTAAAAGCTTTTCACATGTAGTGGAGGAGAAGTCATGCAGCTGATTAAGATTCCGAGTGCTAACTGTGAGATTGGAATATGTTGTGGTAAAGGTATAAATGCAGGGCTGTGGAAGCACAGTCTAGATGAATATGAGAGAAAAGAAATTACATGTATTGGTCACGCGTTTCACTCCGGTGGCCCTGCTCCGTTTGAATAAGGAGGCTGCCTGGTGGTCTGTGGTAAGATGGGCACAGAGTGGGATGAGTAGCCCGTGGAGGTTTGGTCTCCATCACGAGGTCATGTTACCCCGAGGAGCTTACTCCCAAACTGAGACAACAACCTTAAGGAAACCAATGTTTGGGGCCAAGCAGTGGGAAACTTGGCTCATCACATTTTTCAGTCATCTTGAACTCAATCTTTCAAATCCTGGAGGGGAAAGAAGGAAAGGGTGTGTATTTGTGACATGAGACTCAGATGTCACTTTTCTCTTGGCGCCTCACGGTAGAAAAATACATGGGGGTTGGCTCCACGATTAACCCCTGCAGCCATGCGTGGCGACCTCCAGGACTTCAGAGATTCTGACCACACACCATGGGCCGGGCACTCACACTCGTGCCCCTCTTCAGCCCTCATCAACCTGGGGTGGAATCAGCCTGTGCCTCTTGCTCATTGTATGACCTTGGGTTTAAGTTTCTTAACTTTCCTGAGCCTGAGTTTCCTCAACTGTAAAATGGGGATCCTTCCTACATCCCAAGTGGAAGGCAGACATTCTCAAATTTCAGGGTGCTTGTTTTATAAAAGCAGGTTTCTGGGTCTCAGCTCTTAGACGCTTGGATTCAGCAGGTCTTGGGTGGGGCCCCAGCATTTGCATAGTTGTTGTGGGTGTTTCTCCAGCCACAGTTGGAGAAACTCTGAGACTAGAGAAGGACTTGCCACACCTTTCTGATCTTGCACCAGTTATCAGTAACAGATGTCACACTCCTACCCCTAATAGAAGTATGTTTACAAATAAATGTACCGGTCCTCTTGTACTATGTCATATACTTTGTAGAGCAGTATTAACATAACAGATATCAATCCGGGTTTTAATATTTTCTTCCCATACCCCTGGGTTATGTGAAACCTACTTTGAAAACCACCGATTTAGAAGCTCAGATGAACTATCTATAAAAGCACTCTAAATGGACAAAACCAGACTAAGATTTTCGACAAGATACATGGCCTATATATGCATGTGAGCCATACACTTAGAATACAAGCAAACATGAAAATACCTCCCCAATACCACTCATCGCTACTGTTCACCCTCATCTCACACTTTGAGCTTGATTTTTTACGAGACTTCTGTATTTTCGGCTTTTAAGCATTTTGGAATAGTTAATACAAAACAAGGGTAAACTATGACCCAGAGACCAGAAGGTAGACAAAGAATTTTACTCATTTCCCTTATCAAATCTACACATTCCCAATTCACATAAGTGAGACAGTTGGAGGACAGGCTGATTAGAATATTTGTTTAGTGGGGCTCTTGCTGTTTTGAAAACAAAGCCATAAAGTTTTCTCTTGACATCCGTTACCAACCTTAGAAGAAAATCCCACAAAAATAATTTCATTTCCAGGTTCTACTCATCCTTTTTCATTCTCCAAAGCTATCAAGATTGGTACATATAAACTTCGGTCCTCGTGTAAACAAGGGAAGATTTTTATAGGCCAAGGAGAGTTACTGGTCTCTTCTCATGAACT